CTTTCCCTAAGGAACAATACGAATTGTATTGCGAGATGGGCTCCACGTTTCAGCTGTGTAAAATATGTGCTGAAAATGACAAGGATGTGAAGATTGAACCATGCGGCCATCTGATGTGCACGTCCTGTCTCACTGCGTGGCAGGTGAGGCATGGCCTCTTGTTAATCTCTCTGAGTGAAGCTAGTTGCTCTTTTACAGAAGCGGTATATTCTCTTCTCAAAACTGTTCGGTTTCCTTCAGGTATGGAGGTAAGATAGCATAACTTAAGACATAAGCTCATAGTTCAGTAATACCAGTGCGTCAGTGCCAGCTCCACCAGTGCAGGGAGGAGCTGGTTAGATGCCTGATCTCTTAATCTAGGAATAGGCAAAGAGTGTGAGGACTTGCCAAAAAGCTGGTTTTCTACTTCAGAGAGAAAATACTCTGTATTTGTAGCGCAGTTTGCCTTTCTGTCTTCCTCTCAGTTGAAAGGTACCTGCCAAAAAGCAGGTTTAAATCTCTTTGTATATTAACTATATGTTTAATTTCTGCATCATAGTGGCTCTTGTAACAGATCTCTTCTCTTCCCTGAAGGAATCAGAAGGCCAGGGTTGTCCTTTTTGCCGCTGTGAAATCAAAGGCACGGAGCCAATTGTAGTAGACCCATTTGACCCCAGAGGAGGAGGAGGATTATTACGGCAAGGGGCAGAAGGAACTCCCTCACCCAATTATGATGATGATGACGACGACAGAGCTGATGATTCCCTCTTCATGATGAAAGAACTTGCTGGTACCAAAGTAAGGTCACCAGAGTGTGTGCTAGTAGATGTGGCAGTATGTGCAAAGACTGCACGTTCTCCATCAGTTTTCTGTGGTCTTAGTTAATTGTGCATGTGAGGATTGTCAGACCTTGTAACAGGAAAGATTTTACTCAGTATGGAAAATGGGGATTTAGGTACAGTTTTGTCAGTTCAGTTCAAACTGTCAGTTCTATTAAGCAATGGTGATCACACTTTGAAATCTTTGATCTTTTGTGTGTTGCCTTGAAAGAATCCTTAGAAGGGTAAAAAGGCTGGCCTGACCTATCAGAATGTAAGATCTAGGTTTATAACACTTTTCTGCGTGCTTAGCAACGCTGCTTTTGATTTATTAGCCATAGTTCACCCATATCAGCAAAAATTCATCTATTTTCCCCAGTGATGAATACAGCCAAACAGATATAGTCTTCCCAAGGTCCTGATGACTAACTGAGTAGAGGGCAGGCTGTTTTGCTGAGGAAGTCAATTTGACTGTCAGCTTTTTATATGGTGTCTGATAAATTTGTATAATAAAGGTGTGGTAACTTTCTGCCATTAGTGCTACTTCCTTCCAGGAGATGTGCGCAAGACAGGCATTCTTTATGGATTCCTGCATGTTTTCTCCTGAAAGCGCGTTGCTGCTCCTGCACATCTGCACTTAGCACTGCTTTACTGCATAGGGAAGTGGGTTTGAATTTGGCTAATTTTTAATAGTTGAGTTCACTAAAATAAGTTGCCTTTCCTGGTCAGAAAGAATCCTCTACACTGGTTTACCTGTGGTCATATTTCTCTTTCACTGCCACCCTGTGAAATAGTGTACTAAACAGTAAACAGTGTTTCTGTAGGGAGTTTTTGTATACATAGCTTGGGGAAGCAAAGCAATTTCCTCAGTGTGACATCCTGTCTGGTTTGCAGTAGGCTAGTACTCTGTATTTGTTGGCATTAGTGAGTTCAAACCTGTGTAAAGCTTTTCAACGTTAGAAAGCACTAGCCTTGCTTGTAAAATAAGATTTATGAAAAAGAGAAGAACAGGCACTGTTCCAATTTGTTAGGTGGAAAAACAGCTTTCCAGGGACAAAAATAGAGTTTTTTTTGCAACTAGTGATTGCTGCAACAGCCATGACACTGTAGTCAAGGTAGTTTGCAGTGGTGCCTGCAGTGATAAATAGGATTTGCAGCAGATCATGCCCTCTTGTGTTGAAAAGAAAAGAAGCTTGCTTCTGCTCAGGGCCCAGTAAGGCTGGTTTGTTACACCAGCTGAGCAGCTTGTCTTTTATCGTGCCATTGCTAAGTGTGCATTTTTAGTTGTGTGCCATAGCTAAGCCCACTGGCGATCTTCAAGGCTTGCCGCAAGTCAAATGCTGTCGTGCTGTTGAAATTGCCTGCATTTACTGGTGTATGATTGTTACAGATATAGTAATTTGTTACCATTAGCAATATTGAAGCCAGTACAAGTCACAGAGCTTGAAAGCCTCTCTAGAGAAAAGGAGTTCTGCTGGATTTTGTCATTTGTTGATTTTCCCATTCTTTTCTTTTTCAGGTCGAGCGTCCTCCTTCTCCGTTCTCAGTAGCTCCACAGGCCACCCTTCCTCCCGTGCCACCGCGACTGGATCTTTTGCAGCAGCGAGTGTCCAATCCGCCTGGGGCTTCCAGTCCTGGGACCACTTCAAAGGTCAAACACACTGTTTGCCCTTTCAGCTATGATTTTGGTGGGGCAGGCAGGAAGAAGAGCATTCTGGTGAACCTACATGTTCTCTGTGACATCCCTAAGTACTTTCACACAAGACTCCTTCTTCCTTTTCTGTAGTCCTGTTAGGCCACTTTCCTTCCGTTCTCTGCGAGAGCCTAGTCTGTCCTGAAAGCAAATGCTTCCTTCTGGAATCCATTGTAGGAGAGTCCCTTTTTGCTGTTTAAAGGGCCTGTCTTTCCTTCACATTCATCCATGCAATTGCTAGAAAGAAGCTGATCCGAAGCTGAAGTACTTGCTCATTTAGGGCGACTGGTGTCCTCCTGTTGAACTACCAAGTTATTGTTATTACCAGTATCTTCACTGGTTTTCAGCCTCAGCCGCTGCTGCCTACACCCTTCGGAGCCGCATTTATGAGCTTCTGTTTTGTTCTAGCTAGCAGGCTAGATGTGGGAAGGTGTCATATTCCTGTCCAAACTGTTCTTTTCTTCACAAATTTTTCCATTGAGCATTTTTTTCAGATAGAAGACTAAGGAAGGAATGAAATGTGTGTGACTGGGAGAGAGTAATCGGTTTTCTGATTGAGTAGCAGAAGGCAGTAATGTGGTCTCAGTGGCATTTGGTCATTGTCTGTTGAGATATGGCAGCGATTCTTCAGCTGATTTGGATGAAGTAATGAAATTATGCTTCAAAGTCTGGGCAGAAGATGATACCCTATTCTATGAATATTCATTGCTGACTGATGAATGTTAACTTGTATAAATAACCCACAATTGAATCTTTTTTTAAAATGATGGGTATCCTTTGTTTGGAATCCAATCTAATGCTGCTGTAAGCTTTTTTTTTTTCCTTCAAGAAAAATAATCTGGGTTGTATAGTGCCTAGCTGTAGCTGCACGTAGTTACTGTGTTACCTCTTCAAGCCTGTAGAGAAGGTGGCTCTGGAGGGTTAACTTATGGAGATGTGGAGAGTTATCTCCACATCCTTTGAGATTATTTCTTGTAAAAATAGAGAAAACAAAAACTAAAACTCACCCTTCTGCCACCTGCCTCCCTCCTTTTTATGTTTTGTGGCTAGACTACCTTTGTTAAGCAATATTTTACATTCTTGTGCCTTCCAGGCTGCACCTGGTACTCTTCACAAGGATAAACCTTTGCCAATCCCACCCACGCTCAGAGATCTCCCGCCGCCACCGCCTCCAGACAGGCCACATTCCATTGGGACTGAAGGTCGACCTCAGAGACGTCCCCTGCCCTGCACGCCAGGAGACTGTCCTTCGAGAGACAAACCACCTCCTGTGCCCTCCAACCGTCAAGCGGATCTGTGGCCATCCAGGCCAATTCCAAAAGCCCCGTCTGTAGCTCTCAGCTCTGGTGACCCTTGGGCTGGGAGAGAACTGTCAAACAGACACTCACTTCCCTTTTCCTTGCCCTCTCAGATGGACTCCAGGGCTGACAGCCATCGGCTTGGGAGCACACTCAGCCTGGACAACCCAGTGGTGAGTAGGTGAAAGTAATTTGTGAAGAATTAAGTCTTCCAAGGTGCCCTCTTCTTATAGTTTATGTCTGAATAGGGCAATCTTGTGCCAAGGGAGAGATGGAAAGGAACTGGTGAATGCCAGGCAAGGGAGACTAATGAGAGGACTTCTTAGGGAAGTGCTTTCGAGCCTCTTGGGAGCAAGGCTGAAATCCCAGTTTGAGCAGTCATGAGCTACAATTTCATGATCACTGTTCACCTTTCAATTTCGTAAAACTGAGGATGTTTTGTATTGGGACCTGGTATGCTGAAAAAGTGTAATTTACTCTTCTCAGTTTTCAGTCCTGTAAAACCTGCACATGGTAGCTATGATAGTTTAACACAGTAAAATCTGAATTAAATTTGGATCTGTTACTCTTACCAATGTCATGATGTGTAACTTAGTAGTCCAACATATTGTTCTCTAAAAGAAATCCCAGTCAGATTTGCTTTCTTTGATTCCATTCCCCTAATTTTTCCTTTTAAAACCTCCAGCTTTCTAAAATTGAAAGCAAGTACCTTTATAGCCAGATTGGTTACGAAAATGACACTTGCACAGTTGTCATTCTGTCTCCATATGTGTGTGCTTGTCTGCACCCTTTTCTTCTTGTCCCCCATTAACGTTTTGGCCTTTTGGCCTATTTTGGCTGAATTTGCCAACGCCATTGGAGTCTCAAAAGATATGAAGTTCCTGCAGTTTTTGTGTAAACAGGCAGTTAGCTGCAGGAGAAGAACCTCGCTTGTGCCCTCACTGAGGGAAAACTGTCACAGACCTACTGGATTTCTAAGGTGTCAGTAAATGCTTTGGAATGATGAAGATGCTTCATTCCCCCAGAGGACACGTTGCATGACTGGCTGACAGCTTTGCAACTACAGTGGTATATGTGGTGTTCCTGATTCCTGGCTTGAAATTTTTTCTTTCAGAGCTTGAACAGTGGTCCGCCAACAACCCCAGAGTGTGAACACCCCAAAATTAAGCCCTCCTCGTCTGCCAATGCCATCTACTCCTTAGCTTCCAGGTCTGTTGTTTTCTAGCAAAAGTGCTCTTTTATAACTTACAGAATGGTAATCGTAATGCTCTCTCCATGCTGATGCCAGGGACAGAATTTGACACAACTCTGTCAGCTTTAGTTTCAGTCTCTGACAGATTCGAAATACACAGTCTAGAGAAAGTAGATTAAATCAGCATCCCAAAGATCTGTGGATATTGGTGGAAGTTACCCTTGGCTGTGTCAAGAGCAAACAGGCTACAGTTGCCATTAGCTCTTTCATGAATTCACTTCTGAGTTGGTCTTTATGTGAAGTAGGTGATGTACAATGTGTATGATATTGTCAACTTCCTTTTGCATAATGACCTTGTGCCAGTGTGACCTTGCAGCTGGGCTGCTGAGAATCCTGAAAGCCAGGTTATTTCTTTAGACAGAATCACTATAAGATGACGAGAGGAAATGGGCTTAAGCTGCGCCAGGGGAGGTTTAGGTTGGAAATTAGGAAAAATTTCTTTATGGAAAAGGTGGTCAAGAATTGGAACAGGCTGCGCAGAGAGGTGGTGGAGTCCCCATCCCTGGAAGTGTTCAAAAAACGGGTAGATGTGGCACTTGGGGACATGGTTTAGTCTAGTCTACCCTTGATTGGTTTAGAGTGGACTTGGTAGTGTAGGTTAATGGTTGGACTGGATGATCTTAAAGGTCTTCGCCAACCTAAACGATTCTATGATTCTATGACTGCTTGTTACGTCCGCTCTAGATTTTAAAGGCCGCTTTGATATTAATTAGACTTGGCGTAAATGTTTTTCTGATGTTTATATCTTGTTTCTTCTGCCTCCAGACCACTGCCTGTACCAAAACTGCCTCCTGGGGAACAGTCTGAAAGCGATGAAGACACTGAATACATGTCACCATCCTCTCTGCCTGTGGTGCCTCCAGATCCTGCTGTACAAAAACCAGAGATCAAAATGCCTTTGGAAATGACTCAGAGTTTACGGTGAGATTCTGTTTGTGTGTGCTGTGCTACTTCTTCACAGCTTTGGGAAAGCATATTTGTTTACTAGAGTGGAGATTTTCCTTGCTGAGTTTGCTGAATTCCCCCAGTGATATTCACCGGATTTAGACTAGCATAGCTAACTGTAAATGAAATGTGACTACTGCTCTTTTGCAGAACCCTTATACAGTATTAAAGGAGTCAGGTAACCACTCCCACCTCTTTCTGCCAGTGACCTTTTGAGAGCAGCAGCAATTGAAATTCAAAATTCTATTAAGAGGTTGTCTTCTGGTGGTATCAGTTAAATTCTTTTAAGCTGATGTGCTGTTTGCAATAGACATTACTAGAGCATTTTCTGGAACAAATATTCTCTCACAGAACAGTGGTGATTTCACTTTGAAGCAGGGATATGTGCAGAATCTCACTCACAGAGACTAGGTGGTGGTGGTTGACCACTGTCACTTGTCTGAAGGGAAATATGTGTTCTTTCCCTCAGAGTTTTAGACTGCAACCAGCAGACGGATGGCTGTATGTATGAAGCAATGTACAACATTCACTCCCAAGCAGCACCCTCTGCTTTTGAGACTGTCAACACTTCTGGTGAGTGGGTGTGCTAAAAAAGCAACTGAGAAACTGAGGTACAATAAATTGGTCCCAACAGCAGTTGGCTAAATTAAATGTTACTTGCTTTCACTGTTAAAATAGCTGGGATGTATGTGGAAACATCTGGGTCTGTGTACTGCAGACTGCATGTGGGGATGTTATTGAGAAGCCTGGTTGGAATGCACTGTAAAAATACTCAACAGTTATTAAAAAAATTGCTGTTTTGAAGGGTGGTTTGTTTTTTTTTTTTTCTGGGCAGCAGTTGTCAGCCTATATCTATGATAAGTATTTTTAATCTAATACTACCTTCTGGAAAGAGCTTCCATTGAATGTGGGGTTTTGGCAGCAAAACCTTCATTCTGTGTTCTGTCAATGTTTGTGGACTACAGGGGAGCAGAGTCTGCCTTGAGAGACAGAGGCTCTGTTCAGTCCCAGAGCTCAGAATGTGCCTCTTATTCTAGATGAAGGGGATCTGGCAGCAGCAACTGCCAGCAACGGCCCTGAAGAGTCAGAAAATGAAGATGATGGTTATGACATCCCCAAACCACCGCTACCGGTTGCTATTGCTCGTCGCACACTGTCTGATATCTCCAATGCCACAACAGCCTTCAGCCGAATGTCTTTGGAAAATGACCCTGTAACAGGTTAGCGAACACCCGTACTCTTCACATTGTGGTGGGTGCTTATGGCTTGCTATGCACATTTGAAACTTCTTTCACTGACTCACGGTTTGGTATGTAAGCTGTAAAATCAGGTTTACAAGACAGAATTACACTGGTTCTTAGGTGTTTGGCTTGGTTTACAACTTGGAATGCACTGCCTTGGTCATTTAATCACTGAGCTAGCAAATCACATTTAAATCACAGTTAGGAAAACCTTTCCTCAGCTTAAAGGATATTCCTTAAGCCACTGTTTCCTACAGGGCATGGCATACCTTTTGTACCAGGGCGTACCAGGGCATGAAACAGAACTTGAGAACATTGCTGCTTATCAGTGTTCCAAGTAAAAGATGACATGGCTGGCCTTGCGGAGCTTCTGTCTGGCTCAGTTTTGGCTGCGGTTGTTGCCAGCAGATGGCACAAGTGTACTGTTTGATGCTGTCAGTTCCTTTGAGCGGGGACCTAGTGGCTCAGCAAGGTCGGCTTTTTGTCCCTGGGGAGTAGAGGACATCTTGTCCTTCTGGCTGCAAGGCACATTCGCTGAGGGAAGAACCAAAGCCTCGTCTCTCCAAGTGCCTTTCTGAATAATGCTTGACTTATTCCCTACAACTGCCCAGCAGCTCTAAAGGAAGCTCTGAAACTCTTCCTTTTGGGGGGCTTTCAGCATGTCTGAACACCCTGGTGATTTGGCAGGTGAGAGGAGAGTTTCTTGTTCCTTCTGGAGGTAGACAGGAGGCAGAGCCTCCTGTCCCCAGGACCACTTGCCCCAGTGAGTCTTCTGTTCACCTGCTTCACCACTTCCCCTTCCCTGAGCTTACCCTTCTTCAGCACAGAGAAGAGTTTACTAGTGCAGAGAGGTTTATGAGCTTTTGCCACTCCTCCGTGCTCCCTGCCTCACTTTTTAAAGTCTGTCACTGTGTCTGTAGAATGTGACTGACAGGGATAAGAAGGGGCAGAGAGAGCTCACATCCTGGTCCCAGATGAAGTACAGAGCTTAATTACTGACCCTTCTTTGTTTCTGCAGCCCTGAAATAACAGTGCTGTTGTCCTGCTTTGTAGTGTTAGGAGATCTGCTAATGAAAAACGCTGTGGAAATGCTGATTGTTACTGCTCTGGGAAGCATGTGCAGTTTTCTGAAACACTGGGCATCGGCTATTGCTGAAGCCTGGTGTTAAGCAAACCTGACTAGTATGGGACACATTTTCGCAGATTTATGTTCTCATGCATTGTTCCCTACAGTTTAGTTTCTCAATCATTTACCAAAAAAAGCTGTGTTAGTAGTTGCCCTTTCAAATTGACCCATGGTCTCTGAAATTTGATCCAGTTCAAGCTGAAACAGCTATTTCAAAAGGCAATTTGGGGGAGAGAAGTGGATAGTCCTCTTTCTCAAGTGTACAAAAAGCTTTTTATGTGTAAGAAGCTTGTACTTTGAAGATTAGGGAGTTGAACTGCATTGTGGTTGGTGAGGAAGCTTCAATGAATTTGTTTCCTGAAGAGCCTTCTCTATCTTAGTGCTTTTGGTGCAAGTTTTTCAGAAAGGCTCCACAATGACTGCGTCTTTTGTGACCAGCGTTGCAGTGCCCACTCTTAAAAAGAGATTATTTGGACATTCTTAGTCTTATGGATTTGTCTGTTGTACACCAGTTCTACTGCTAGAAAACTCATATCTTGAGAGCCTTGAGGAGTTTCTCCGGAAGACAGATAAAATTTTCTTTAAGGTGATGTCAAATATTCATGCAGAAAGGTTTCTTGTGATTTGCAAAGTAGGAAAACAATGCTTTCTGCAATGATAGAGGTTAGAACTCAAAAATTATCAGATGTTGGATTAACACATTAAGCAATGTGTTGGAGTGTTTGGTGTCATGTTTGGTTTATTGGCTGTTCTTTTTTTTTCCCCCAGGAACAGTGCATGATGTGGCTACTGGCAAGTAGCACATCTGAATGACTAAGAGAAAAGGCAGAACAGGCTGAGATTACTGATCTGCCATAGCAGCCAGCCATTAGGTAGGGTGAGCTTCAGCAGGAGCTCTTGTAGATGGCCCTGGCCTGCTGATGGGCTGGCAGAAGAAGAGGAGCAGACCCTTCAGAGAACATAATTCAGTTGCTGGAGCAATTGTGGTGGATGAGTTGTAACTGATAGATCTGGTTTTATGCGTACACTCCCTCAGCACACTGCAATGTGGACAGCAGTTCTGTGAGGAGAGATCAGCATCCGGACAGTTAAACTGGGGATTGCTGTCTGATTCTAGAAGGAAATGGGATGTTTGGTGAAGTTGTGTACTCTCTGTGTCATTTTTTCCCAGCAGGTTTCTGCTTCTTATTCTAAGGCTGATGTCTGAGCTCTGCTCCCACGCACGCATATATCCCTTGTCAATTTTTTCTGTTTATGTGGTCTTATCTTAATAAACAAGCCTGATGTGGCCTCCTAATTAAAAAAATCTCCATAGCCATTTTTGCACACAAGAGAGGAAGCTGAGCTAATCCGTACCGTTGTGTGAGAGGATAGGCTGGTTGGAGAAAGTGGCATAGCTTTCAGTGGCATGTTTTTGAAGTGCCATTTATCAGTCTAATGTCATTCCCGCTTTGTTCCAAGCAAGAATGACATGTCCTTTTTTGAGGTGATGTGTTTGTTTCTCCTTCCAGGTTTTTCAGACGGCTCTCAAGTTCCAGAAAGGCCGCCAAAACCGCTACCACGGAGAATAAATTCTGAGCGGAAAGCGGGGAGCTGCCAAACAGGCGGAGCCAGCAGTGGGACCAGTGCATCACTGCAACTCTCCAGTGAGATCGAGAATCTAATGAGCCAAGGCTACTCATATCAGGACATTCAGAAAGCACTGGTCATTGCACATAACAATATTGAAATGGCCAAGAATATTCTCCGGGAGTTTGTTTCCATTTCCTCCCCTGCGCACGTGGCCACATAGCACATTACCTCCACACCCACAACTTCTGTGGACCAACTGCCTGGGCAGCCATAGCCCAGCTACGCACCAAAGGGGAAGGGGGTTCCTTTAGAGACTTCATGCTGAGGTCAGTCCTGCCTCTTAAGAGAATCAGTTATCAGGTTTTTGTGGTTCCAGATTTCAAAGCAGTGGAATGAAATGGAGCAGAGTGGTGTTTTTTACAGTGTATGTCTTGGAGTCCTTTACCCCTACCTCTTGTTTGAGAGAACAGATTTATTTCCAGGGTGTTAGTAGAGAAAGGTATCGCAGCAAGGGGTCCCCGAGCTGATGCCCTGGAGACTGGGGGGAGTGTTTTGTGCTGTGAATTCTAAGTGAATGCTCTGAGAAACAAAGTCTCGAGGTTGGTGTGGTGTGTCCTGTGGTTTATGGTACTAGGTTTGGATCTGTTCGCTGCTGTGTGTCTGGCTCCGGCTTTTTAGAGCAGCTGGGAGGTCACTTTCTGCTGGGAATAAATAGGAGACCTTGGAAGAATCTTTCGATTGCTTCCTGTTTGCCATGGTGTTTCCCTCTTGCCTGTAATAATAGCATTTATTGCTTCTGATTCAAGTCCTCCCTTTTTGCCTGGAGATAGCATGACTAGCTTCTGTCAGGCAGTTTGATCTTGACAGTGCTGAGAGTTGGATTTCTCTCATATGTGTCCTCTTGCCGGCAGCACTGGCAGCACCAGATTCCAGGCAGCTAGATGTGCTGAAAGTTTTGCGTGTTTTTGAGGGGTGGGAGAGGGTGGGAAGGATTTGAGTGAGAGCAAAGAACTGGCTGCTGCTTGTCCTTTTTTAGCCTTGAGCATTTTGTGCTTCAGTGCTCAGACTTGATTGTGGCCCTGCTGGGCTTGAGCAGCCGTCACTGGACACTCCCATACGCTCTTTCTCTAGGAATGTTGCACCTGGTAAATATGATGTTTTATTTATCTTAATTGCATGGTGGCTGTTGCACACTAGTGGCCTTCACACACATTCCATCATCTCCTTCAGAGAGCTTTTGCGGGAGCCAGCTGTCTTTGTGCCAGGCTGTTTTGTGGAATTGGTAGATGCAGCTGATGTATTCGTTGGTATCTTACCTGCTTTGCAGTAAAAGAAATGCAGCAGTTCTCTGCATGGCTATCAAAATAACATGGGGGCTCTTCTTTCCATTTCCATTATTCTAAGGTATTGCCAGAGCTTGTGTTAAAACAGATCTGGGAAACTTCTGTATTTGTAAAATGATCACACAGCTTTAAAAGTCAATACTCAGCTGTTACTTTGAAAAAACCTGACTTGCATACTCAGCTACTTCACTCTGTTCATATATGCTTGATGTGCAAGAAGTGTATGGTTCCTTTTGAGAGGATTTAAATGAAGTAGGGATACACAGATCACAGCCTGACAGACAAACAAGTGCTCTGTGTACGCTGAGAGGCTATTAGCCTTTTGAAGCATGTCTAGCATTATTTGCATCTCTCTAAGGCCAGCAGTATTCACTAGGCAAAGGGTTGCAACTTGAAATATTGTTGGGGTGATTATGGCAGTTGGATGGAGTTTAGCCTTTTAAAGAATCTAGTAGCTGGGCCTGGATCTCAGAGAAATGGCTTGCAATTGGCGGAGAGGTCTTATCAAGTATTAGCAAAGGGAACTAAACGTAAAATGTTTGTTTTATGTAGAGTATAGGTTTCTCTGTATATCTACAGCTTTATAAATTGATGCAGCGGGTTCCAGGCAGTTTAGAATGATGAACTGTCTCTCTTTACTCCCCTCCTTTCTGTAGTAAAGAAAATGTTCCCTGAAACCGTAAGGTGATCTCCTGCAACACTTACAGGCCATCACCACTGTTGCTATTTTGGGGCCAGGGCTGAAACTTGCAAATGCAGCACACTGATGAGATTTATGTCGGTAAGCATGGTGCTCTGCAGTGGTGCAGAGAGGTCAGGCACAGCCAAGAGCAGGGTCTGGTCTTGGTGAAGGTGCTCGGTTACACAGAAGGTGATGTCAGTGCATATTGCACTCGGGGAGGAGGAACTGTTCTTTTTCCTCTGCCCACACATGCATCAGTCAGGGGTATAGTGAACTAGTCCTGTGTGAAGTGCTCTGCTAGTTATGCATGGCAGCCTTGGTCAGTGTGTCTGTGCGAGCTTCTAGAGAAGCAAGCCCAGCACTTGTGCTGCTGAGGCAGGAACATGGGGCAGCTCTGGTTGTTCTGCCAGTAGATCTGCGTGTTACACTCAGCGTGTTACGCTCACAGCCTGAGCAACCAGTCCTACCGTATGAGAGTTATTTCCTGGCTTTGTCCTGGAGAACCAGGTAGAAACGCTTTTGTGAGGGAGCACTATGGTTTTATTTCCCTCTTTCTCATGTTCTCTCCAGTGCTGCCACTAGCTCCATGTTGGGTTTGGAGCCACTTTGTTTCTGACTTGCTGCATAAACTCAGTGCAAGTGTGTTCAAGTGTGGCGTGTGACTCTTGCCACTGCCAAGGCTGCGTAAGAGCCAAGTCCAGCTGGCTAGAAAGCCTTAACTCTTGTCTTGCACGGTGTGTGTGATCAGAGTAGTGATGCCCTGTCCCGTACAAGCCCTTTATTACAGGCTTGTTATAATGTTAAATTAAATCATGCCTAGTGTTGCGGTTTATGTGCCGATAGCCGTTCCTATGCACGGTGTGTGTGATCAGAGTAGTGATGCCCTGTCCCGTACAAGCCCTTTATTACAGGCTTGTTATAATGTTAAATTAAATCATGCCTAGTGGAGCTATTACAGGCCTGTCTTTGGGGTTTATGTGCCGAGAGACGTTCCTATGGGTGGTGTTCCAGGTATTAGAGATTAGAAAGAGCAGTCTTTGTGGCATGTATCACTACTTTTTCTGCATGTGTCCTTTCTGTGCACTGTTTGTGTCTCAAACTGATTTAAGAAACTTAAGTCTTGGCTTTTCTTCCTTAGACATGTAAGCGTTTGCTAGTACCACTGAAGTGCAGCAGAGTCCTGACCATGTCTTATGGCTGTGCTCTGTGAAGTCAATCCAGGCACTGTACAGTGTGCTTTTCTTGTTCTTTCAGAAAGGTATGCCTAAGATTGATGTCTCTTTTTTTTCCTTCACCTTCTTGATCTTTATTCTTAAGAAGTTAACCTTATGACGCTACTTTAAAAAGGAAAAAAAAAAACCCCAAAAGTCTAGTGCCTTTCTTAAGGGAATGCTGCATCGCTAGGCTGGATCTGAGTGTCCAGCCCTCTGTGAGAATAAAGAGCCTGAACTAGACAAGCTGTAAAGATGCCTTTGAGCACAAGACTGCTTTGAAAGGGGTGCAAAGAAGGGGCAAGAAAGATGGGCAATTGTCACTTCAACTATGACACTGTGTTTTGTAGCATTTCAACTGGTGGCTTCCTACTTTATCTGTTACTAACAGTGACTTGTCTGGACTGGCGCTGTACTAAGCCTGGTGTGAAGACAGTAGAATTGTAGGACAGGATTGGTTTGCTTGTAATAAAATATGCGTTCTGCTCATAAAAAATGCTGGTTTCCCCCCTACCTGTCAACCTGGACACAAAGCGAGCAGAAAACATTTTGTTCAATAAGAGCTGGGCACAAAATGTGTGGGACCGGTATGAGTCGCTGCACAGCGGGCAGCAGGTAGCTGTGGAAAGCAGGCAAGTATCATCTGTTCTGAAGAGGCTTTCTGGCTGACTTAGTACGTTCAATGCCACTGTAGCTGAATGGGAATCTGAAATGCAATGTATCCTGCCAGGGGTGTGGTAAATCTTGTCTGCTGCACTGCCCTTGTGTGTCTGTCTCTGCAAGTGCTGCAGCTTGAGGCATGGAGTGTCCCTGCGTGGAACCAGTGGATTTGCTTTCACTATAAACAGCTTTTCTGCATGCCCTTCACTGAGCCCTTATCTTCGGGGAGCCAGACCGGCTCAGAGTACAGCATGTTGCTTCCTGCACTAGACTGATTACATTACTGTAGCTAAATCTGAGGCAGGGTCATTACTGTAAATGTTTTTTTCGGTTGAGCAAGAAAAAATGCAACTCCCAGGGCACTTTCTTAAAGGTGCCACTTTAAAAATTAGTGGGGAACAAGGACAGTTATTTTTAAAGTTCCTAATAGAAATCTTTTTTGAAATTCCTGGTGGGGGAGGAACAGTTGTTCTTTCTCTTGAATGACAAATACCAATTTGTATAATATCAGTGTTAAAAATGTTGAGATTTTCACAAAATATTTTAAAAAAGTATAATAGTGTCATTAATATAAAAATATAATAGCAGTATTTAATCCTTTCAGATCTGTAAAGAATAAGGAAAAACAGAAGGTAAATATTCTTACAGAGTGTAGCTGAGCTTTAAGGTTCACTTGGTTTAAAGTCCTCGTTTTGTTTGCAAATGCATTGTTAATGTTTAGAGGTTATACTAATGTTATTTATTAATTGTTTCCATTCTTGTATGCTGCCCACTAAGAGCTTCTTTGTTTGGGATTTCATTCACCCGTGTCAGTAAAAAGAAAACAAAACAAAGTTTTATTTTTCAATAAAATTTCCTTTGTCGTAGCATATCGTCTCTGTTGTGTTGGTTCTGTGAGTCCTGGAAAAAGAATATCCTGCTCGAGCCTGTCTCAGTCATCTTGTTCAGGGTGCCCAAGTCTGAGATGTTCAGTTAGTCTCCTGCATCTCTTGCCGACTGCAACTGACTTTGTACCTATTTTACCTATTACCACAATTATCTGTTCAATTCTAGTTCGTATCATGGATACTAAGAAACAGAGGGCAGGAGAGACTTACACAAAGGTTATACTAGTAAGTCTATTGAGAGAGTTAACGTATTCTGATAGAAGCGACTATAATGGAGTCTATAATCCATCAGGACCTCTCAGAGTCCGGGAATGGCATGAACAGGTTTGTTACCACCCCGAACAGAGTCTAAGGGAGTCCGGAGGAGTCGGGTAGAGGCTGACGGGTTCTGCAGTGGTGAGGGCCTAGCAGACCCTGGAGCGCCAGTCCCGCTCCGCTGCCGTCCGTTAGGCTCCCTTTGCCTCTCACAGGCTCTGTTAGAACATGACTGTAGACTCTAAAGACTTTTATAACTACTGCATAGCAATTATGTAATTTTACGTAATTATAAAATATAGTTATATATGAAATACAAAGGATATAGAATAAATCCCAAACTATATATACACAGCTAACATTGCACAACACTGTGCGGGGCAATGGATGCTGTACAACGTTAGACACTGCAGGAGTCCAGCATACCCGCTGGGGCTTGCGAGACGCGGGGCGAGTGTGTGGCAGAGGCCGGGACCCTGGGAGGCTCTGACGTACTCAAAGTGTGGGCCTTAGGAATGGGGTGAGTCGGGCGAGCGTGTAGCATCTGGAAGAGCCTGGCAGGTGCTGGGCTCCGTTACACTGCAAAATGCCCGAGCCTGCAGGGTCAGTTCAATGAAGCAGGCACAAAGGAGGAGAAGCTGGTCCAGCCACCCGCCCCTCCCCCCCAGTGCATTCGGGGGTCAAATGACATTACTTGGGGTCAAATAAGGACACACAGGTCACAGGGGGGTAGAGTGAACCCCCTC